ATGAGGAAATAAAACACTAAAGGAAAGTTCACCTAAAGCATGTGTTCACTGTTCGTGGCAAATAAAAATCAGCCATCAAATCACATGCTACTCATCAGACATTAAATTGTTGATAACGAAAACAAACAATTTATCGTTATGCGACTCAAAATTCAAATGGAAAAGCAACGCAAGACACACATTATCAATGTATCTCAATCTCTAATCTTGGGCAAAATATTTGTGCACCAGCTTTCAACTTTGGAGGTTTGCGGTGATGGCATTTCAATTAAAGTGCAAAAACACACGCAGCTTGAACCCGACCCCCTTTTTCCCATCCTTCAGTTAGCAATTCGTGCAAATAATTGAAATACGCCCACATCGTGGAAAACTGAAATGTTGGTGGAGTGTAAAAAATGCTCAAAAGTTGCCGACTGTATACAGGAAAATTCCATGCAGGCAGCTTGACAGCAAATGCAGACTTGGCAACTTTTACAATTTTATCTGCTACAAAAAAAAAACAATATAAAAAAATATCATATGTGCATTCATTCACTTAGCAGTGTACATCCAGCAGTATTTTATGTGAAATCCAAGCAGATGCTCTTACACATATTATGTTGCACAACTTGATCAAAACAAAGTTAAACTAGAAATTTTACATTTCGACATCACTCCGATAATAAGTTAATTCGTGCAATCCTACATTTATAATCAACTAAAAATCAGGGCAACTTTTTTATAAAGGCACACAGAGAAAAATTTATTAATGGAAACAAAAACATTTTTATATTTTTATCATATGACTTTAATAAATTTGTTCTACTCTTGTAGATTTAATAATATAAAAACTAGGAAGATAACTCTAAAAAATTTCGAAATGTCCAATATTTTGTTTTTGGCTTAATATATTCTTACTGTAATTTAAAAAACTAATAGCTTACATTCTTTACTGGTTTAATGGAACATATTTTGCTCTCTGCAAAAATCTAAATCGAAAATATATGGCATAGGAGTCAAGGAACTTTAAGCTGCTTTTTGCCCTGGCAACTTTTACCCGCACATTTTTCGTTGTCTATGTATTCTTATTTTTATTTTGTCTTGTCATGCTCAATCTAAATGAGAGATGAGTTGTCCATTTGTCCGTTTTCTGGCTGGTCAATTTGTTGCGGCCATTCAAAAGGCGAACATGTGAGAACAATTGAATCGAGACTTACAGTTATAACAGTGCGTGTGGGTAGATAAATTACGATGGCCGGATAATGAGTTTGTTAGATACGTTCGGAGAAACCCAGGAAAAATGAGAAATTAGCACAAAACTTTGTTAAACTTGGCTTCCCAGAAAAAACTTGCCCAAGCTCATGGGGATCTCATTGAATTGTTTAAATGACAATTTAATGGAAAAATGCCTACCATTTATGAAAGATATAAAGTAACTTGAGAGTTTAAGATATAAACTTTTTCAAGATTCTTTGAGGTTTTCATATATGATTCAAATAATTTTGAAATCTGTTTTTAATTGCAACGTTTATTGAATCATTTTTAACAACATAAGTTCCGAAACAACTTCCATGGCAATTGAAAACGCAAATGCTGCACAGAAAACACAAGAGGGCTTAATTTAGAAAATTCCCTGCCACAGAAACCCGCCAGATTTAATCAGCTTAAGTAAGTATCCAAAGAGAGCGGTTCGGATACGCAGTTAAATAAATCTCTTATGTGGGTGGTGTGCCACTATCGTCAATGGTGGTGCTGTATTCGGCAGTGGTGGTGCTACCTTAATAAGAACAGCCGTTGTAGCAGTCAGTCAAACGCCCCGGCACAAATCTCTCGGCGAAGTCTTATGAATAATCACTCGGCGGCAGTGTAAAAACTTGGCAAATGTGCGAGCGCACAAAATGAAACGAGACCAGAAAAGAAAAATGTATTTCAAATGCGCAAAACTAAAAAAAAAATTGTTGAAAAGTGTCTTTATGCCTTAAAGATACGTCTTAATAACGCTGGGAAATAAAGGGAAGAAAGCGTGAAAGGGTTGGGGTGCGGAAACAATGCTCACATGTGTGCCCCGAAAGGTTGAGAATTTCACTTTTACACCTCAAAAAGTGTGGCATTAAATTGTGATACCTCAAGCTAAGCACTTAACTCGATTCTATTGAGTGGGAAGGAAGGTCGAACAAATCACCTGCCGACCACGTATGCCAGCTTATTTCGAGATAAAGATACAAATTACATAGGGGGACTTCGAGGGGTTGCCTCGATTAATATGCAAGCAGTGCAGCAAATAAAATATATATAATTGCTGTCTGATTCTTATTTACCAGACTGTCTGTTGCATAAAAAGTGAATGAAATGATCGACTTGGGGCTTGACTAATTAAGGCGGAACTTGAGCGTGGCTTAACTTCAATGTCAACGACAGTGCGTTCCGAAAGTATTAAATTGTCATTTCTGATTGATTGTCAGGTGATAAAGTAGACAAAGGGGAAAATACATTTGATATTATGACACTGAAAAATGTGTGGATAATTTTTAAGATATAACAAATGTATATCAATTCGTATAATATGGTCTTGCAAATTCATAATAAAGTAGGGTTTATGTATGATATCTTTTCATATTTAATAAAATAACAAAAATAAATATATATCCAACACTGATTTATAATTGCGAACCTTACTGTAAGACCCTTAGCTGTCTATTATTCACAGCCATTTGTAAAGCCAACTATGCGTAAGAAGCCCAAAATAATTAAGTTAACAATTTGGCTAATTACGCCTGCACTAAATGCAGTTAAACTAACGCACAATTAAACCACAAGAACGAGAGCCAAGAATTTGAATATTTTTCAATGCCTCATATTACAGTGGGCACTGAATACGAAGAAAACTATTTGCCTGTTCAGGGAAAAAAGCAAACAGAGCAATGAGATGAGTGGAGGATCTCGAGTTCTAGTTTTCCCGGGTCCGCTGCCATTTGTTTCGCCTGTCAGTGTGTCAAACTGAAAATGTGGCGACGATGTCTGTTTATTTAGCACGTTCTTTGGCTTCTCTTCACCCTCGGATTTCATCTCATCTAGTGCAAGTTCAGTCAGCCAGCCAAGTTCTTTTTCCCCAGCAGCATATTTTTTTCCTAGAGTATTTTTAAATGAAACTTGCCTTTGTTGTCATTTATTACTGTCACTTTAAATCCAATCTACGCTTTGTCTATGTTCTGGCAATCGATGAGCGATTTTCCCTTTCAATTTTGTTTGTTTCCTTTGGATATTTCTTCGATTTTTGGCTTTGGCTTTTGTTCTACATCAAGTGTAATTTGAAATTAATAATTTTTTCCAGCATCTTCGGCGGATAAATTCTGTCAAGTAATTTGATCTTGAAAAATATAACAACGTTGGTTTTTCCGCAAGAAATAATATGTTCTTTAAGAATAAATTCAAAGATACATATTCTTAAAGTTCGTTAAGAAATTATTTTGAAAACTGATAAAACTCTTAAGACAATTGATATATTATTTATTAGTTTATATCACCACAAGTTTCCCGAAGCAAACAAAAAAAATTTGGCACATGGCAGAAGATATAATTATGAAATAATAAATAAAATGCTAATTGGTAAAGCACACACTGAGGAAACGAATAACAAAAACTTTAAACTCTTAATTGCCTGGCGCCAGACGATTGTTTTTTAATATCAAAAGCAAAGCATGTCCCAATGACTTTGACGAACTTGATTATTATTTTATTTTTTTTTGCCGAAATATTTCGCTTCTACCACAAAGGTTCCCCTTAAAACTGTTTACTCTCGTTTTTTCTGGCACGAAATGGTTCATTACGAACATCACTTAAGGCAAAAGCCGGGCATTAATAATCCCGCTGTAGCCTACAATCATTTATTACCGGTTTCGGAGAAATTACGGAAAAATACAAATTTACAACACTTAACAATGACTCAGAATGAAAAAATATTGTGGACATTTTGGACCAGAGGACAATTCATTAATTTTAGTTTTTGGTAGAGGTCTTGGAAATAAGGGGAATAAGGTTGCGTGCACTTGAAAAATATGGATAGGCAATATTTTGTTTCTTATTAAAATATAAATATAAAATCTAAAGATTAGTTTGAAGTATATACAAAATAGCTTATGGACACAGTCCCGTATCCAGTGCCGCCCAAAATGAATATTAATACAGTAACTCACAACGTAAACTTCGCCCTCGATCTCATATAATAAATGAATACAATTTAGGGATAGCAACTTAGTGAAATTATAGGTTGGAAAATTTGCCGCGACTCTAAGTGAGGCTTTAGTCAGGCTGAGTGCCTGATGAAAAATTTAAAAACAAGCAAAGAGCAAAACAATTTTCATAAATATGCCACTGAGGCAAAAGTTGGCCAAAAGCTGTGAGAAAAAAAAGAGAGTAAAAACCTCAAAGCGCATTAACGCCTTTAATGGCCTTGAGACGCGCAGAGTTCTTATTTTTTCAAAGGGGAAGTGGGTGGTTGAATCCACTTACAAAAATATTTTAGGACTTTCATAGATTTGAAAGTAAATAAATATTCTTGGAGAATGTTTCCCTTATATATTTACTATGTTAAAATTTTTTTTATTTTTATAGGTACAAGACCCATAAACACAATACAAATATTTCTAGACAAGTTTTGTTCAATAGAATATAAATCGATAGAGTATGTTTCTTAATATTATACCTTGCTTAAGGCTTATAAATCTAAAATCGCAAACTAATATTCTGAACAAAATATTAATAAAATAATATATAATGTTTTTTGGTTTTTTTATGATTACCTATACACTTTCGATAATTTAGATATCGTTGGAAATATTTTCTCCTACAGCTTTATGGGAAAGAATGTCGACTTCAAAAGATACTCATGGCTTACAATAAAGATAGAATACTAAAACTGAATAAAATAATCATAGCGCCGTCGTTTGAAGAGTTTTAAAGTACTGTTAAAGATTGTTTCCTTAATCATTTTTCCGGAGTGTGAAGAAAAGTGAAAAACTCACCTTAGATTTGGAACAGCCGCCGCTGCTGCCGCCGCCGCCTGCAGAGGCGGAGGCACGTTGTACGGAAAGGGCAACTTGGCCGCAACCGCCGGATTCTCGAACAGCATTCTCGCGCTGTTTTGGGGGTGGTGCTGGTGGTGCAGAATCTGGAGGTGGGTGGTGCCGCTGGGGGGGTTGATGGTGCTGCCGGTGTTGGTGTTTATGTTGAAATCGGAGTTTCCAAAGCAGTAAATTTTGCTGGCTTTTCGCTTATCCCACAGACTCACGCTGAGAAAATTACTTTAATGCGTTTGCACCAAATACTTTTGTTTACTGTTTTTTTTTTAATTTTTCTTGCACTTTTTAGTTGACCTTTTAACTATTTTGTTAAAGATTTTTTGTTAAGTAACCGCACTGATTTATTCTTGTTTTTTTAGGTAATACTCATTTTTATAACACCAAGATTTGCTGGCAACGTTTCAGATTTTCTAGAAGAAAAATGTGAGCTTTATTAGATTTACTTAAAACATTTGGGATATTAGGTACAAAATTAAAAATGATTTTTTAAATTGTAAGCATGTGTATTTTAATAAGCTAAGTATTACTTTTATATTCATTACTTATATTTTTACATAAAATTGTATTATGTTAGTGTATTTATCTTTTAAAAAGATATTACTTAGATTGCTTTATTTTTTCATTTTTGTCATTACTTAAACCACTTTTTCATTTTCCATGACTTTGTTTTTATTATTATAGCATTATTTTCTTGGTCTTCTTTCGATTCTTTAGCATTTCTTTGTTTTTGGCTTTATGCTTTTACTTTCGTTCTTTGGCATTTGCTTTTGCCCTTTGCTTCTGGCTTTTCAATGCTGAATTCTGAATTCTCTTCTGCCATTGCCGGCTTTTTCGACACATACACACACGACACACACACAAGCAGCACTCACACACGTGCGTACCGCTCTCAAAATGGTGATAAAATATTGTTGTTTTTGTCGTTGCGGTTTGATAAAATTTCACACACGGCTTTTAATTAAAGTCGCTTGGGTTTTATAGTTTTGTAGTTCTGTGCCGGTTTTTGTTTTAATTTTTCATAAATTAAATCGATTTGCTTGAACAAAAACACACGCATACATAAACATACATTTGTAGCACAACAACAAATTTCTGCGACGTCATTGAATTCGCCGCAAAAGAATATGCGAAAACGTAAAATGAAAAAAAACCAAAGAAGCGTCCCTCAAAAAAACAAAAATGTCTTCAGGTTGAGTCACTTACACACACACTAGTACGTAATGCCGCACACATTCACAAATAAACAACGCGTGACGAAAATTACATGAAAACCACTCGCAAAAATCCGCGAAATTCGACAATCCGTCCGCTCCGAACAAGGAATTTTTTTCAACTGACACTGAAGGAGCAGTTTTCGCCGCAGGACAAAGGACAAAGCTGCGCTGAAGCTCTCACGCTTGCTCTGGGTAGTTCGCTCTCTCTCCCTCTCTGACTCTCTCCCGCAGGACTTGAATAATCATAAAAAAAAACTTGGATGCAACATGCGGCTGAGTCAGTTAATGACGTACCACTATCTTTTCCTACTCCTTTATCCCCTCTTTCGCTATGCCATGCAATGCTCCCCCCATAATCATTTCCGATGTGCAGTTCCATGCAGTTTCCCCAGACAATAGGCCTATATAGTCGCATATAGCCATATAGCCATCAGACGAGCGTCTTTATAGCTCGCTTTGTTCACCCCGATTTACAGTGTTCCCTGACTAGAGGAACTTAATCTTCAAACCAACTAAACTTATCATGGAAATATCTCAGAAATAAAGATACATATCTGATACTAAAATTTTGTTTTGTATATCTTGTAAATATTATATTATTCTATACCCATTTTGCTATCCACATTAGTAATAGTTGTTCATAGTCACTGTTTATACATTAGTTTAAACCAAAGATAATAGAAACTACTTGCTACCTATTTACGAAAAAGTTGATTGACTTTGTGACTTATTTGCGGGCAAATAAATTAAAAGCGCAAGTTTAGCCAATAATACTTTTTCCTGAGCACTAGAAGTTTGATGTTTTAATATATTTTATGAAGCTTTTATGAAAGTTATTTCACTGGGAAAATTCCAATATAGTTCAGCAAGTTTCAAAATTAGAGCAATGACTGTACTTGACTTTCTGTGTTTATCTTATTTTGTTTGCTCAGCTCGTATTTCTTTTAAAGCTCGGCTCGCAGCTGACGCATTTTGTTGATTTTGATTGCTTAAAGCTGAGAAACAAAGAGTAATTGTTTAATTCAGTTGAAGGGAAGGATTGCCAGCTATTTCGCTTTGATTTATGTGAAATTTACAAATCAAATTTATTTCACTTGCGAAGTGTCAAGTAATTTTATATTTTATTTAAGCTTTATTAATTTAATTGTCACATTTGAATATTTGTTTCCCTTTGGTTGTTTAACTCTAGATTTTGGTTGCGGAATTTTGGTGTATTTGTATTCAGTTTCATGTTTCATATATGGAATTTCGTTTAATTCAGAATATTTCGGATTCCTGGGGTATATTTATTCACAATATTTTTTCTATTTCAAGGGGGAACTCAACTCACATCCCCTGATAATATCTAATTACCCACATCAACAGTTTCTCAGAAAAATGTTCAGTTTCCTTCAAGTGTTTTTCGCCTTCTTTTTCTTATCGTGCACAACACATTGTGAAATATACAAAACCGAAACACAAAATTGTAATTGATAAAAATGAGTTGGTCACCAACAACAATAACATTAATTATTATTTTTTCCGCTTTGAATATTGAATGTTTTTGTGTTCGTAATACTTTTTTTTTAATATAGGAAACCATACACCTAAGTGCATAAATGTAGACCGAAATTAATGCGATTTTTTTAATAATTGTATTCCAGTTTAATTGTATATTGCATCAATTTATTAGCAGAACACTTATTTAACTGCACATGTCTTTTTAGTCGACTTACTGGGCTTCGAGCAGAAAGTTCATTGTTTTATATTTTTAATTACACATTTAATTTATATATTTGTTTCATTATTTTAAACTCGTGTTTTTGTTTTATAAGGGGTTTCTTAGTCATCGCAAGTCAAATTGCATTAGGATTCATTAGTTAAACGTATCATTAGTTAATAAACCATGAAAGTTAATATTAGATTTAATGATAAATTTTGTTTATAATCTTAATAGCCATGAAATACATATTTTATTCGGTCGCTCAAGTCATTGATTTAAATAAAGCTTGATGGGTTTTGCATGCACATGTAGAGATTTCGGATCTTATTTTTAATTAATTTGCATGCACTCTGTTTTTTATGGATGCGGTTTGTTCATTTTGCTTAACAATTTAACACGTAATTAATTTCAGTCATGCAATATCTCAGAAAAAGATTTTCTTATATTTTCTATGGGAATTACTTTCAATACGCGGCAAACAAAATTTGAGCTTTCTTTGTTTGTTTATTTTCCATTAGCCGAGTTCGGTTTCGGTTTCGATTTAAGGCCCAGTCGAGAATCAAGTCAAGTCAAGACTAGGCTTTATCTGGATGCACAAACGGAAATCAACGGCAAAACGACGACGACGATACCACGAATCGGTCCGCTTCGAATCGCTTCGAATCAACTGGCTGTTGTAACGGTCGCAAGCAAACTGAATCCGAAAGATACTGCTGAACCGAACCGAAAGATACAGATACAAATACAAGAGAAAAGTTCTCTCGACCGCCTCTCGCTTTTTTATATCTCTCTCTTTCTCTCGGCTATTTGACGTTTGCGGCAAGCATAATAAAATAAAACAAGTGGTCGAGTTTTCCGACTCCAAGATACCCGGTATCTAGATACATTACTGAAAAGATACAAAAAAAAATAAACTAATTAATATAACCGTACACAAAATGTTTCTTCTTAAGAATAATATTAACTTATGCAACTATTTTGGTTTTTAAAAATTATTTCATTGTAAGTTTGATTGAAAACTAAAAATTCTTATTTCATATGCTATAGAAAACCCATTATAAATCAGCACGAATACAATATACCCTGGAAACTCAAAAAATATAGGGTAATCTCCATGTGCTCTTTCGGTTGACATTTTCCACTCTCTCTTTCTTACTCTCTCAACAACCACCCACAACATAAACGGGCCCCTCGCCCCACCCCAACTCAACAACAAAAACAAAGCGAAATGTTTGCTCCCTCTCTCCCAGAGAGAGCCAAGCAAAGAGAATTTGTTGTTTTGCGGCGAAGTCGCTCAATAAACGCCATTTGGGTAGACAGCAACAACTTTTGGCGCTCGTATTGTTGTCCCTTTTACACACACGCCTTGGCTTACTTCCGGTCTTGAATGCTGCGTCCATTTGTTGTTGTTTTTGCTATATCTTCTTCTTCTTGTTTTTGCTTTCTGTGGTGTGTATAAAAATTAGCATCTTCTGGCATTTCTATGGTATTTTTATGGTATTTTAAAAGTACAAATATATAAGATTTATTTTAAAATTTATTAAGTAGAATAAAATTTCAGCATAAAAATCAAAATCTAAAGCAATACATAAGCTCTAAAAAAATAAACATAGTTTTAAATGAATGTTGTTTAATGCTCAAAAATCCGTGTATTCAACTTGTCTTGTATTGTATTTTCGGTTCGATTTTTCGTCATTCGAAAAATGGCTGCAGAAAAGTGACCTCAAACCTGTACTTCCAAGACCATAACTTTTCTTACAGACATCCGATTTCAAAGTGGTATACTTCGAAAAGATTGTGGTTTAATTCTCTAAAAATCTGTGTTTTCAGCTTGGCTTGTATTTTTGGGTCGATTTTTCATCATTTTTATAGTGTTGCGCCTTTCCAAATTTTCCAAAAATGGCTTTGCAGAAAAGTGACATAAAACCTGTACTTCTAAGCCCATAACTTTTCTTGCAGACATCCGATTTCAAAGTGGCATATCTCAAAATGATTGTGGTTTAATTCTCTAAAAATCTGTGTTCTCAACTTGGTTTGTATTTTGGGGTCAATTTTTCGTCATTTATTTAGTGTACCAAATTTTAGAAAAATGGCTTTGCAGAAAAAATACCTAAAACCGGCACTTTTAAATGATTGTGGTTTAATGCTCTAAAAATGCAACTTAATTTGCAGTTATTTACTTTAAATAAAATACTATTCTAAACTATTTTTTGATATTTAAAGAGATTCAATATTTAGTAATTATCGAACGGAAATATCTCTAAAATACAACAAAAAATGCGTAATTCAGTTCCCCATCATTGATGCCTACAAAGCTTTTTAGCTTTTCCGTCGCCTGTTGCACCCACCTCAATTACCAATTGGCGGTACACCCCCGCAAAATCCAAATTTTACACAAATTAAATTTTTTTCGCAAAATCGCAGACCTGCTCTGGCGGCTGGGCGCTCCCAAATTACAAAAAAAAAAGTAAAACAATAACTTCAACGGCTTATTAGGCAGCCTAAAAACATCAAAGGCTGAATCATTCCTAAGCAATTTTTTATGTCATTTTCTTTTTTATTTCTTTATAATTTACAACAAAACGCGCAACAAGCGCAACGAGTTTTCTGCAGTCAAGCAGCTGACGGCGAAAAGAGTTTTTTTCTGTAATGTTTTGTTCCTTTATTTTGTTTGGCTCATTTTTTTCGGTTCCTTTTTTGTCGGGACACAAGAAACTTGTTTGCAGAGCTCCAGGCGATAAAGAAGGAGCAATATATAACAATAGCAACAACTGCGACTGAGGCAGACAGGTCAAAGGAGCAGTTGTTCCCCATGCCACGTCCCCCTCCGTCTATGTCTTAGCCGCTCCCTGACACGCCCCCGCAGCAGCAGCAATAAATTCTACCAGCAAGCGTCTTCGATTAGTTTGAAAATGGCGGGAGAAGTGAGTGAGACAAATAAAAAGAAAATGTTGTGAGAAAAGACGCTCAATGAGTTTCCCGACTAAGATCTACCATTTTTTTTTGCAAAAAGTATCTCAAAAGATGCGAATAAAAAAACAGAGTTTTAAAAATGTAACTTTCAAGTAAGTCATAAATTTTGTTAAATATCTTAATTCATTTAATAATTCCAAATGTTATTTTTATAACAATCAACAATTGTTTGTTTTTTATTTTGGATCTTTTTAGGCAATTTACATTTAATGATACAAATTGAGAACTTGCAACGCCTTATTATGTAAAACTATTCATTTAGCAAATAAATAAAACATATCACTGAAGTGAACTCGGCTTCGGTATCCCGAAGGAGAAGAGAAAATACAGGGTATTTTTAGCAGAAGAGGAACGAACACCAGCCATTGATGGCAATATTTAGTCTGCAACTGATGTTCTCAGGGTTTATTACTGTTCAAGGTAAGAATTTATAGCGAACTGCACATTCAGCAAATTTGGGTCATAAAAGTAATTAGTGAAATCTGTTCCACTACAGATTGGTATTGTGGGTGAATTTTAATTACCGGCCAGAAGTTCATGAAAGTGCCAAGAAGTTTCCCACTCCTCCGCCATCGGCTAATTGATTTAGTTCCCATTTTATTGATCAGCCGAAAGGAGTGAAGCTTTTGGCCCGCAGTAAAATCGACTACGTTGGGCACTGTGGGGTTAAAGGGCGGTTTGGTATTAACCAGCAATGGGCAAGTTGGGGCAACATCGGTTATTGGCCTATTAATGAAACAGCCATAAAATTAAATAGCGATTTATTAGTAGCTGTCGGAGTTTCAGAGATTAAAGGTAATATACAAGAAATATATGCAACTTTGTTCCGATTTTTATAACATTGCGGGGGTATTTATTTCGGTCAAAAGGTTGAAACGCAGTGAAGGGCACATTTCCGACCCTATAAAGTATATATTCTTGATCAACCCCTTTTCAATTCAGAGCTTCCATTATCAAAATTACAAAATACAATTTGCCATTAATCATAACATGTCCTTGAATTGTCTATATAAAACGACACTTTTTCTCTTCATTTTAGTGCTTAGTCATACAAGGATTCGTACAATTTCATTAATGATTACGTAAGCAAATTTTAGTAGGGACACTTTCTTTATTCCTTACAGAGATTAATGTCCTTGGCAAGCCCTTAAGTCCAATTTGCGTCGTAAAACTACTCTTGGATGAAAATTTTATGACTCTGACATGGTCTTTGGTGCTATATTTTGCTATATGTTCGTGCATGAGTATGTAGGTCTGCAAATCACAGTGCTGTTGATGTTCAGTGCTTGCGAATTGTGCGCATAACAATTAGGCAGAGGCAGCTTAGGCTGCTTTTGCCACCGAGAAACTGAGACCCAGACTGCATTTATCCAATGCCATAAAAATATCAGGAACACATGTTGCCTGCCGCTGATTTTCTGCAGATTTAGGGGGACGGTGGGTGATATGGGGTCGGATGGTATTATTCGGGGAGAGGGAGGCGATATTCTGTCGTCTGCCAGGCCTGCCACGTCTGGTTAATGAGCACGTTTGCATCCGTGGGAAAGAGGCGTAATAAGGGGATATATACCCCCTACAAAGGAGTTTTGTTACGCCAACTGATTGTTCGTTAGAGGCTACTTGTATGTTCCCCAAAAACTTTTCTTAATAATCTGATTACATTTGAATTTTTTCCTTACGCGGAATTAAACAAAGCTTATCAGAGGTGATTAAATGAAATATGTTTAAAAACACACATAGAAAAACAGAATTAGATTTTATTAGTCCAAAATTAAAATTTTGTTATTTGACCCCTAACAGAAAGTTTCAAGTTTCTACGAAAATAAGTTAGATTTTGTATATAAAATAAATCACATAATATTTTTATTCAAGAAGAACAAAAATTTTAATAAACTTCTTTGTAAAAAACAAAAATATATATTGCTACGTTTAAAAGCACCTCCCAAGATTACCAAATGCTATAAAATAAAATTAAAACTTTAGACCGAAACAAAGCGAAACAAAAGTATCTTTTCCTGGCAGCCCCGAAGTATGCTACACTTTCCTCGTGTTTTTCCCTACCTCTTTGAAATTCATTTGCCATGTGAGGAAGCCATGAAAATAGAAGTGGAAAAGTAGTTGGGGGACTTTGGCAAAGTGTGGGCGGTTGACCTTAACAAGCGTAATATCATCAATCAGTGCACAAATTTGCATTTTATTTTAGCCTATTTCTGCCCGGTAACATGCTGCCCCCTGTCCCGACATTATCTACATATATCGTCTATATCTTGTCGCCGTTGTCGGCGCATCAACGCGCTTCATCAGCGCGGACTGATATGTAAATCTCATAAATCATGCACACCTGTCGTCGATGGCAGCGACAGTTCAGCTCGGTTTTGCTCAGGTCAGTCAGGACGACAAGGACATTGTCAGCAGACCGACAGGGGGTGGGTGTGGGTGGGTGTGGGTGGTTGTCCCCGTGTATGTCCAGATTTTGTGGTGGTCAAGCCTTTCGAAAGGGTTCCTCGATTTCTTCGCTTTTCAGGCTCATAAGCAGCTTGTACTTTTAATAAGGGGAGCATTTTTATTTATTATTTTATATTGTATTTTAGCTTTGAGAGTGTTATTTTTACTTAAAATTTAAGAGTCCAGAAAACCAATAATTTAATTTGGAAAACATTTTTTTACATTTTGTCAAACTATTTTTAATTTTCCTAAGTAAATCTTGT